CTTTATTTGGACGAAAATCAACTCTCTGGTCCCATTCCTATTGAACTTGGGAATTTGAAGTCTCTCATTCAACTTGTGATTAACGAAAATCAAGTTAGTGGTTCCATTCCTTCATCATTGGGTGATTTGATATCTTTGAATCTCCTTTATTTGTACCACAATCAACTCTCCGGTCCTATTCCTACTGAACTTGGGAATTTGAAATCTCTCATTGATCTTCAGTTGAGCGACAATCAGCTTAGTGGTTGTATTCCTTCATCACTAGGAAATTTGACATCTTTGAATCTCCTTTATTTGGACCAAAATCAACTCTCTGGTCCCATTCCTATTGAACTTGGAAATTTGAAGTCTCTCACTAGTCTTGCGGTGAGTGACAATCAACTTAATGGGTCTATTCCTTCATCTCTTGCAAACCTAGGGAATCTACAGATTTTGTACCTTCGTGCGAACAAATTATCTGGTTCGATTCCTCAAGGATTGGGAAATTTGGAATTGTTCGAGCTACAAATGGACACAAATCAATTGTCCGGCCATTTGCCTGAAGGTTTGTGCCATGGAGGAAAGCTTCAACTTTTTTCGGTAAATAATAATCAACTCAGTGGGTCTATTTCAAGAGGCTTACAGAATTGCCCTAGCTTAATTAGAGCTCTTTTTAATCAAAATCAATTCAGTGGAGATATATCGAGTAGCTTTGGGGTCTATCCAAGCTTAGATTACCTTGATATCAGCCACAATAATTTTCACGGGCAGCTTTCTCAGAACTGGAGTAAATGCAAGAATTTGACATCCTTAGTGATGGGATCTAACAACATCAGTGGTAGCTTACCACCAGAGTTTGGAAATTTAACACAACTACGAAGACTTGATCTATCTTCAAATCATTTGGTTAGTGAGATTCCAAAGGAGTTTGGGAAGATGAAAAGCATGTTGAATTTATCCTTGGCTAATAACCAACTTTCAGGTACTATACCTGAAGAGTTTGGATCCTATGAACTTGTTGAAGTACTGGATCTATCCACAAACAGATTGAATGGGTCGATACCAAGGAGTATTGGTCGGTGGGCACAAATCCACTACTTGAATCTTAGTAATAACAAGCTCAATGAGAACATTCCACCCGAGATTGGTAAATTGGTTCATCTTACAAAACTTGATTTATCTCAGAATTTGCTCACGAAAGAAATACCAACTGAAGTTTTAAGTTTGAAAAGTTTACAAAAATTGGATCTTTCTCACAATAGATTATCTGGTCCTATTCCTGATGCTTTTACAAGTTTGCCACGCGGGATTGATATCAACCTTTCTTACAATGAGCTCTCCGGTCCGGTTCCCCAAAGCCCCAATTTCGTGAATGCATCTGTAGAAGGCAATCCAGGTTTGTGTGGAAATGTTACTGGAGTGAAACTGTGTGCAAGTCAAATTATGAAGAAGAAACACACTCCCTTTCACCATAGGCTAATCCTTGTAATTATGCTCCCTCTTATCGGGGTATTTTTACTTGGTTCATTCACGTATGGTTTCATTGCTTATCACCAACAAAAGAAAAAGTCTCTACAGAAACCATTGGAAGAAGAAACTGGTGATTATTTCTCCATTACAAATTTTGATGGCAAACTAGTGTACGATGATATCCTCAAGGCAACAAATGATTTCGATGAAGCTTATTGTATTGGGACTGGAGGGTATGGTACCGTGTACAAAGCTGAGATACAACCTAACAATGTGGTAGCTGTCAAGAAGCTTCACCCATCATCATCTGAGAATGTTGATCATAATGGATTCCTTAATGAGGTACGAGCATTAACGAACATAAGGCATCGAAACATAGTGAAACTCTATGGATATTGCTCCCATCCCCGTTACTCATTTTTGATCTATGAATACCTTGAAATGGGAAGCCTTGGATCAATCTTAAGAAGCGATGTCTTAGCAAAAGAATTGGATTGGTTGAAAAGGGTAAGTATTGTAAAGGCTGTTGCTAATGGTTTGGCTTATATGCATCACGACTGCTCACCTCCTATAATTCATAGAGACATTTCCATTGCCAACATCCTTCTTGATTCCGATTATGAGGCACATATTTCTGATTTTGGCACATCCAAGCTTTTAAAGCTAGACTCATCCAACTGGACCGCAATTGCAGGAACCTATGGTTATATCGCGCCAAGTAACATAATTATGTGATGTTAGTTCCACACTTTCTTAAGTTACATAATATATTAATAAGTATATGTTCATACACTATCTATGTTTGAATCTTGTGAGGTTAATATAGCTTTTTTTTATCTCATGTTTTTTTTTGGATGTAGAGCTCGCTTATACGATGGTGCCAACTGAGAAATGCGATGTGTATAGCTTTGGGATCGTGGCACTAGAAGTGATCATGGGAAAGCATCCCGGTGAACTACCAACATTGTCTGTTGATTATCTGGTGTTAGGAAATGTTGGAGATAGTCGGATTCCACTTCCTTCACCACAAGTTGAGAAACAAGTAAATTTGGCGCTCAATCTCGCAAGAGCATGTTTGAACTCAAATCCAAAAGAAAGGCCAACAATGCGCCAAGTTTCAAATCTGTTGATGAAGGCCTGATAATAGTGTACTTTCAATGTTCTTTCTTTTGTCATGTTCTCTATATGCATCCTGATAATATGTATTGATATGAATGCCTACTTGTTATGAAACTTTTCATATGATTTCTTAAATCTTTATGTACTAGATAAACAAATAAGTTAGTGAAGAATGCTATCTCTTTAGAAGCTTCATTTCTGGAAAATCAAGTATTAGTGAAGGACAAATCTGTCACTTAATACTCTTCATGACTGATTAGCTACACAGAAGTTGTCTGTAATTTAGCAACGAACTTTCACTTGCTTTATTTTCAAGTGAAGTTTACCAACAAGCTTTTCCAATAATTGTAACAAGTAGCAAAAATAACAATGGTAGATTAATTACAAATGATAAATTATTTTCTACAGTTTATGTCAAATAAATAACGACTGAAATACAAAAACCAATAGAGTTTTAAACAATATACAGAGAATATTCCCAGTTTGTATCAGTTGCAATTCATCTTAATTCAAAATACAATATTCCCATCAATTGCATGTTGGTGTTGGGAGGCAATCGGTTAGGTGTGTGACAACGAGTGGGGTTTTTTAGTAAGAGATGTGGGATAATTAGTTACCCTGAAAAAGTTTCAACAAAACTAAAAAAAAAAAAGTTAAAATTAAAATATTTGAAAAGTCTCTTGTGTTTTTTTCTATTTACTATGGCCAACGACTCATGGGATTTGACAATGGTTTTTCATCATTCTTCTAATCTCCTACTTTGGCATAATATAATTTTGATGCTATATACCCCCTATGCTACATAACTCATTCATATATACAAATTTTGTATTAGAAAATAGATATTTATATTTTACATTATTGGTAAAATTTGTCTTTAGAGAGATGACAACTTTTAAATATTAACAAGTTTTGCATCTTAAAGCAATTTACATGCAATCGGTTGTTAATTGGAATGGAAGATGTGCTACTAGAAAACCAAACACAGTACCTTTAGTCTCTGCATACTTTCTTTGTCTGAGTTCAAACTTGACACTTTTTTTATACATAAAATCAATTAATGTTATATCCATATCCTGCCATATCATGTTGAAGTGTTTTTATAATTATTCAAGTTATATAATATTAGAATATTCTAAAGTAGAAGATTGAGATTGCAATTAAGAGTTCTAGCATTCAAAATTCAGAATAATCAACATCAAAAGTTGCCCACTAAACATCTCATTATCATATAGCCATTAATGCACTAAGCAAGGTTTTGGTTCATTCATTTACACCTATTTCTGGATAATGCAATGTATATTCTCAATATTTGTACGCGAATCTCTATGTTTATTGGGGTCCACGAGCCTCTTGTGAGCTGCCATTGGCCTAATCTCAAACAGATTTGTAATTAGCAGGATCTATTTCTTTCGTAATCATTTACTTGAAAAATACAATGTATAAGTGCTATATATCATCTTAGTTTCATGGATATTCAATAGATCATGAAAGAGATTGCAAATTGTTTGATTTATGAAAAGTGTTAGTGTGATCGAACTAAAACAGGGGTTCTCCACATTGATGAGCATCAAAAAAAAGAACAATTAAAGATATGATATTTAATGTTGAGCACTTTTTTATGCAAAGATATCATAAGAAAACTAACTAGCTATACTAACAAGCAAATTTAGTTCATCTGAAAGTGGAATGTTAGCTAACATATTAATATCATTGCCTAGGAACCACTACTTCTCTCATATTGTATTGGGTGTGTAGTATTTTTTGGTCAGAATTGACAAATAATTGGAGATCGGTACTTATTTGCTGTAAGTATTCGTTGTTTTCTAATAGTCTATGAATTCATAACACATTTCATCGAACACTTTATATCCATTAGATACAAGGAGTGTTGGAATTAAGATAGTGAAAGAAAATGAGGAAAGAAACCAATACATACCTTCTAATTTGATATCCACTTCAATGATGGTAAAAATAATTGACTTCAAAAAAAAAATGTAAAAAAGATTATAGTCGGTCTAAAAAGGTCTTACAAAATGTTGTAAAAAAATATAAAAGTTGTAAAAAAAAATAATTTGGTAATGTTGTAATCTTCAAGAATCCCTTTTGATAGTGATTTTAATTCCTTTTTTTTTGTGAAATCTAGTTTTCTTACATTAATGGAAAGTTGAACTCATTTAAGTATCCAATTTGTTTTAAAAACTTGAACCCAGAAACATGGGGTGTAACATTAGGAGAAGATTTGAAAAGAAAAAAAAAAACGTAAAGTTCCCTTGAATGATGAACATAAAGGTAAAGTGGTAATTGATAAAGTTGTCATTCTAATGATGTTAATGTCTAGCAAGGAAACACCAAGGGAGGAAGCGAGGACAAGCCTCACAATTGACTTTGCAGCGATAAAACTGTTGAAAATAGAAAAACAGGACTGGATCTATAACAAGTTCCTAACCATGGGGATGAAATTTGTAATTTTCTTAGAAAAAGTTACGGTTTTTTTTTATATTTGATAACATTGAGGTACAACTTGCAAAAGGAAATTTTTGGAGGGTTGGTTGTAAAAGTTAACAAAAAAGTCAGAAGTGATGATTTGGGAAATCCGAATTAAGGATGAAATTCAGGGTAATTGCAAAATGTTGTAAATCCAGCTTAAGAGGAATCGAGTAGAAGCAGTAGCAGAGGGAACTTCTCAAGTTATCTGGGCAACCACAATTTTCTGGCGAGAACATATAAGAAAATCGATTCCATTACAGAAATTTGGTGTAAAAAACTCCATCAAAGATTCAAGCATCAATTTTCATCTCTACTGCAAATTTGATGATTGGAGGCAACATCTAAAGACTGGTTTCATCATGGGAGCCTTGAATCGATGAAAACATAGTTTGGGTTTAGCTCGGATGAGATGTGGATGTCCAGATTTAACCATTCGAACCAGTTTATGAACGATTTCATTCCAGGTACTATGCAGCCCAACTGTTCGATCAAATGCTTCAACCAAACTCATTGGTATGAGGACCAAATTAAACACAGAAACTGGAGAAGGGTTCTACAAACAGTCAAGAAATAATTAACATGATATGCACGTTGGATTTTTGTTTAAATTTACATGAAAAAAACCTGATCAGTCATGGAAGATAATTAAGAACTGTAAGATGAAAAGTTGAGAACCAAAAATTGATTAACATACAAAATGTGCAGGCTCACCGATGGTATGTAATTGGCTAAATTAGAGAAAGGATAAAGGACTGATTGAACACCACTGATTATGAGCTGAACTTGATATTGAAATTGAATACCATGAAACAGGAACGATTGTAGCAAAATAATTGTAAAAAGGAATTGAATGATCATAACAGCTGTCTAATTCGCTGATGACGTTTCATACATTGTCATGACTTGTTCCATGCTTCAAGATTTTCAGTAGTGAAAGAAGTCAAATGTGAACAGCTTATTAATTTGTTTTACCAATGAATCTCGTAGTCATTGCACCAAATTCAGTTCTTCTGTAGGACCCATACGTATACACACAATGTGAACATTTTTTTTCTTCTTCCTAGATGGTCATAAGTAATACAATTCAAAGTGATACATTTCTTTGTTGACATTGACTTGACTTGACTTGAAAAGCATGACGTTAGGTGAAATAAAAATAAAAAGAATAAAGGGTCAAGTATAAATTAGGGAGACACAACCATTATTTTTCAAAAACCAAATAATGACTTCCTTAAACTTCTTACTTTTCTCTCCAACTCTACTAATAATCATTACACTCTCCTCCACACCCAATTTCGCTTGTGCTTCTTTAAAGGAAGCCAATGCTCTTCTTAAATGGAAAGCAAGCCTTGAAATCCCAAACAACGCCTTTCTCTCTTCATGGCTTCTCCTCCCTATGAATTCCAATGCATCATTTCCATGCACTTCCTGGTTTGGAATTGTTTGCAATGCTGATGGGAGCATTCGGAAGTTGAACCTCACATCATCTGGAGTAAAGGGTACGCTTCATCAATTTCCATTCGCATTGCTACACGGTCTTACTCATTTTGATCTCAGTGTTAACAACTTCTTTGGCCCCATCCCACCAGAAATTCGACTCCTCTCCAAACTTATCCACCTTGATTTTTCAGAGAATAAGTTTTCAGGAGTAATCCCACCTAAAATAGGAAACCTGAACCGGCTAACCGTCTTGTATCTATTCTCAAACAATATATCTGGCTCAATACCAATTGAACTTGGGAATTTGAATTCTCTCACTGACCTTCAGGTGGCCTACAATCAACTTAGTGGTTCTATTCCTTCATCACTAGCAAACCTCAAGAACCTACACACTCTGTACCTCCATGAGAATAAATTATCGGGTCCCATTCCTATTGAACTTGGGAATTTGGAGTCTCTTACTCATCTTGCGGTGAGTAACAATCAACTTAATGGTTCAATTCCTTCATCACTAGGAAACTTGGGCAACCTACAATGGCTGATGCTTAAAGATAATAAATTATCCGGTTCCATTCCTACTGAACTTGGGAATTTGAAGTCTCTCACTAATCTTGCGGTGAATCGCAATCTGCTTATTGGTTCTATTCCAGTTTCATTTGGTGATTTGACATCTTTAAATAGCCTTTATATGCACCAGAATCAGCTTTCTGGTCCCATTCCTATTCAGCTTGTGATTTTAAAATCTCTCATTGATCTTAAGTTGAACAAAAATCAACTTAGTGGTTCCATTCCTCCAGAGTTTGGAAATTCAACTCAACTACAAAGGCTTGATCTTTCTTCCAATCGTCTAACAGGTCAGATTCCTAAGGAGTTTGGGAAGATGAAAAGAATGTTGAATTTGTCTTTGGCTGATAACCAACTTTCTGGTATTATACCTCCAGAGATCGGATCTTTTGAACTCATTGAAGTACTTGATTTATCTACAAATAGATTAAACGGGTCGCTACCAATAAGTATCGGTCAATGGGAACATATTCATTACTTGAATCTTAGTAATAACAAGCTCGGTGAGAAAGTTCCATCTGAGATTGGTAAATTAGTTCAACTTACAAAACTTGATTTATCTCAGAATTTTTTGTCAGATGTGATACCATCTGAAGTTCAAGGTTTGCAAAGTTTGCAAAAATTGGATCTTTCTCACAATAGACTGTCTGGTTCTATTCCTAACGCTTTTACAAGGTTGCCACATGGGATTGATATCAACCTTTCTTACAATGAGCTCTCAGGCCCAGTTCCCCAAAGCCCCAACTTTGTGAATGCGTCCATAGAAGGCAATCCAGGTGTTTGTGGAAATATTACTGGAGTGAAACTTTGTGCAAATCAAATGATTAAGAAGAAAAACAATCCCTTTCATCATGGGGTCATCCTTGTAATTATCTTCCCTCTTATCGGGGCAGCTGTTTTACTTGGTTTGTTCACGTATGGCCACATTGCTTATCGACAACAAAAGAAAAGGTCTCCACATAAACCATTGGACGAAGAAAGCAGGGATTATTTTTCCATTACAAGTTTTGATGGAGGAGTAGTGTATGATGACATCTTGAAAGCAACAGATGATTTTGATGAAGCATACTCTATTGGGACTGGAGGATATGGTACCGTGTACAAAGCTGAGATACAACCTAACAATGTGGTAGCTGTCAAGAAACTTCACTCATCATCTGAAAATGTTGATCAAAATGGATTCCTTAATGAGGTACGAACATTAACGAACATAAGGCATCGAAACATAGTTAAACTCTACGGATATTGCTCCCATCCCCGTCACTCATTTTTGATTTATGAATACCTTGAAAAGGGAAGCCTTGGATCAATCTTAAGAATTGATGACTTAGCAAAAGAACTTGATTGGTTGAAAAGGGTAAATATTGTAAAGGTCGTAGCTAATGGTTTGGCTTATATGCATCACGACTGCTCGCCTCCTATAATTCATAGAGACATTTCCATTGCCAACATCCTTCTCGATTCTGATTATGAGGCACATATTTCTGATTTTGGGACATCCAAGCTTTTAAAGCTAGACTCATCCAACTGGACCGCAATTGCAGGCACCTATGGTTATATTGCCCCAGGTAACATAATCTTGTGATTCTTGTTCTACGTCTTAAATTTCATGACATATATAAATATGTATATGTACATATATGTATTTATGTTAGAATCTTGTGGGGTTAATATAGTTTTTTTTTTGTTTTTTTTTTTATGTTTGTTTGGATGTAGAGCTTGCTTATACAATGGTGGCAACCGAGAAATGTGATGTGTATAGCTTTGGGATTGTTGCACTAGAAGTGATCATGGGAAAGCATCCTGGTGAACTACCAACATTGTCTGCTGATTATTTGGTGTTAGGAAATGTAGGAGACAGTCGGATTCCACATCCCTCACCACAAGTTGAGAAACAAGTTGATTTGGTGCTGAGTCTTTCAAGAGCATGTTTGAACTCCAATCCGAATGGAAGACCAACAATGCGCCAAGTTTCAAATCTGTTGATGAAGGATCTGCTTTGAACTGACATCTATTGTCTCTGAAGGATATAGTGTACTTTCAATGTTCTTACTTTTCTCATGTTTCCTATACGCATCATGTCAATATGTATTCATTTGAATGTGTTTTTGTTGAGAAACTTTACAAATACTTGTAGTTAGCAGATCTTAGAGATTGGGTATTATGTCAGCAAACCCTCGATTGTTGTACTACCCTCGACTGTTGTACTATATAATTGTATATTGTTTTATAACAAAGACAGTGTAATAGTAAACAAAACAACTTGATTGATGTCAAACCCAACTCTAGACTTCAAATTGACTACCTTTATTATTTGTCATCACAGAACAAGTATCTATATACCATACCCTTCAGTGACAAAGGAGATGAAAGATGATTGGATGGTTATCAAGACAAAACCAAGAGGGGTATTTAAAGTCACCGAAGCTGAAATGGAAGTAGATGAAATCTTTCAGGTTGAAGAGAAGTTTGAGTTACCTCTTTACTATTACTCGTGTGAAATGACAGTGCCTAGCCTCAACTATAAAGACGTATGACCAAATATCTAATGACGAGAATGAGGGATCCAGGGAGAAAGATGAAGAAGATGAAGGTTTTGAAGAAATAGATGATGGAAATGGGTTATTTTCTTTAGACTATTAATTTCTTTTGGTTATTTTTTTAATTTCATTTTTTATCGGTTAATTCTTCTTTAATAACACCACCACCATCCTATTTTTTTTTTTAAATGTCACCTATCCCACCACTGTCAAATTAGGTGATGGTGGTGGTGTTGTTTAAAATATTTTATCATCTAAATATTTAAAATAAATTAGGAGACGTGGGGTGAGTGAACTTTTTTTTAGGGTTCTTTATTTTAAATAACAAAGAAAACAATGAAAACAATTTAAAAACAATTAAAAATATAGTAATACAATAAAATAATATTTATTAATATAAATATTATATATTAAAAAATAATTGTTAATTAATTATAATATAAAAAAACTTATCTAATAAAAAAGAAATTATAACTCAATAAAGTAATCTTTTTTAATATATAAGTATTATATATTTAAAATAATACTTATTAATAAATAATAATACAATAAAAGGGAAATAAATCCTTAAAAAGAAATTAAAAAATAATTAATTAAATATAAACTCATAATACAATAAACAAATATTTTTTTAATATATAAATATTATATATTAAAAATAATATTTATTAATAATAATAATAATACAATAAAAAATAATCTAATAAAAATAAATTTAAAAAAGAACTTATATATAATAATAGAATAAAATTTAAATAAAGAGATGGATAAATGAACCTTGTAGTTTGGTTTTAGAAATGGTTTTTGAGGGTAAAATTTGTATTTTGAATAAGTTAACAATGAACTTGTTAAAGTTAACATTAATTTTTAGGCAAAAAATGCATAAAATATCGAAAACTGGATCATTTTTGCATCTCAAAATAATTTTGGACTAAATCATATAATTTTGACAACCACAATGACTATTTTTTGTAATTTTTTCAATATTCAAGGTTGAAATAATATTTTTTTTTTCTCCATTTCTATAGAAACGACCATCATGTTAAGAAATTGAAATTTTCTAATAACTTTTTCAATTTTCATATTTTTTTTTGACAAAAAATCAATTTCAAAAGTTATATTTTCAAACAAAAAAATATTTTTTCAAATAAAATAAAATTTTGAAATATGTTTTTCGATCTAAAAAGTGTTTTTCAAAGTAATTTTACAAATTGGTTTTTTTTTCCGGTTAAAAATCAGCTTTTGAACTTGTTCTTCAGGTTTGGGTTAAGTTTTGAACTTGTTATGACTTTATTAAGTTGTCCATGATGATTTCAAAGGATGATAGAGAAGATGATGAGAGACTCAAACATATGAAAAAACATTTCGAAAATTTGGAAAGTGGGTAGAAATCAGATTTTCTAAGACGGCGGTCATTTTCAAAGAAAACCAAAAAAATATGGTTATTTTTTTGTAACCTTTTCAAAAAATGATGGTCAATAACGTGGTACCTCAATAATATATATATATATATATATATATATATATATATATATATATATATATATATTATATATATTAAAAAAATAAGCTTTTATGTATACAAACAGCTGATTAATGAAGTCAAGCATCGCAATACCAACAACGCTTTTAGCGGCATCGCCTGTTGCTGCTAATGCTTGGAATAAATACCGCAATATTTTCCCTCTACAAGTTGTCGCTACTGATAGCCACGTATCGTCGCTAATACCCGTCACTGTTAATGCGTTGACGGGATATACACAACGAAACTGACATTTTCCTCTTCAGTCTTCATTTGATTTCTGTCGATTCCCAGCAATTCCACCATCGATTTGCTGTCGTTTTGCGACTTCCCTCCGTTTGCTTCGTCATATTTTACT